GGCCGGCGGGTGAGCGGTGAGTTGCTGCCCGCCGGTTGCGGGCGGCGGGGGCGGGGCTGCGCGCGACGCCGCGGTGACGCCATCAGCCTGCGCCGGCCGGTGCGGGGATGGCCGTGGGGGGCGTGCTCTCCGTCCCCCGAACCCCTGTTTCGCTGCCCGCCACCCCTTACGCTCACGGGTGCCGAATTCCCCACCGCCTCCCAGGTGCGCGGCCTGTGTCCGTCCCTGCGGGAAAGCGAACCGCTGCCTCCGCCTCCCCTCTCCAGAGAGCCCGCGGTGGAGCGACCCGCCTAGCGCGAGCCCAGCTTCCCCCGGGCTCAGCGGTGCTAACACTTCTGCTGTGCAGGCCGGACGTGGTGATGCTCGTGAACGAGTTTTGTGAACTGTTACGTGTTCTTTGTTCAGCCAACAGTCGTTGAGTCGAACCGTACCTTTCTAATAACAGCTCATACTTCTCGAGGGCTTAAGTGCTAGGGGCTTTACACGGATTATCGCCTTTAAATTTTACACCCGTTCTGTAGGTAGATATTGCTATAATCCTATTTTATTGAAGACGTGATGTACTCATTTTTCCGTATGTTAAGGTTGCTTTATTTTTGTATTGAGACATCCCAGTGGGTAGCAGTCACATTGAATTTTTTCTAATGCATTGATGCAGAGCTTTTGAATTTTGATCTCAGGAAGGTATTATGTTTTTCAGATAGTAGTAAAATAGGAAGAATTCCATGAGTTTATGTATTTTCTGTACTGTATTCAGAAGATGAATTTTCCCTTTATTCATTTGGGAAACAGCATGTTAGTTTTGTTTCCAGCAATGCCAGTGAAAGCATCTCAGCATTGCACAGGGCTGCGCTGGGAACGCGTGCTGAAAGTCGGTAATATACTAAATGTACGCAGCCTGGTATAGTACAAGTGAGTCATGAATCACTGAGCTGCCGTGGACCTCAGTGTCTTTATGAAGGGAGGAAATTAGATGATATTTGAATTCCTTCCCAGACTGTCATTCATCCTTACCTCATTAATTAGACAGATATCTATTGACAGTCTGCTACCCAGGGGATATTGTGGTAAACAAGACAGGCAAGGCTCTGCCCTGTGGGGCTTCTCTCCTTTGAGGGCTTTGTGATCTGTGAGCTGAGGGGGCTGGTGGCAGTCTGCCTTATAGCTAGAAGACGTACCCTAGACTCACCACTGCTCAAGGGATGCTTACTTTGTGGAGGCTTCCATGCAGTCATTTTTAATTCGATGAGCTGCCTATGCCATTTCTGCTGTCAGAGTTTACATGCTCTGTGAGGAGGAACCAGACAATAAACAAACAAGCATATGGCATCTTAGATGGTTATGTGAGATATGAAGGAAAAGGAAGTAGAATAAGGGAAACAGAAAAGGAAGAGAAGGGAATGGAGGAGGGAAAAACACTGTCTGTTGTTTTAGATGGGATAGTCAGGCCCCTGCAGGAAGTGAGAGGTTGAGGTGAGCTTACCAGGCAGGTGCAATAACGAGTGCACTGCCTGGGGCAGGTGCAGCTGGTGTGTTCTGTGTGATCAGTGTGAGAATGAGGCTATGATACGTGGTGAGTCTGCACCTGTGTGCTGTGTATAAGTCTGTGGGACACAGATAAGGGTGGCCTGATTTGTGATCTGACTGGAAAGAGAAGACAGTGATACTTTGCCCTTTTGAAAGGAGATCTTTGAAAGGAGCTTCAGATCTGGGCTTTGTCTATGCAAAAACAGTTTAGCAAGTTTATCTATTGTGAGCTATGAATTGATTTGCTGAAACGAAACTCTACGAAGGGATGGTGTCTCAGTATTTACATTTCAGTGAGAGCTACATCTGACCTGATGTTCCCAACCAAATCACAGAAGGACTAAATCATGAATTAAAACAGGAATGGGATGTGTTATCACATTTGGGGTTCCTGAAGAGTCATCCTTTGTACTCTAGAGCTGTAGGCTACCTTCATATCTGTCAAGCCACAAGCACCAGAGCTGCTTTCTCTTTGGGGTGGTCCTGGAGAAGCCCTGGAAGGTTTGGGTACCAGAATTCTCATTGCACACCTCCAGCTACCAGTTGTCTTACTTCAGGCACTCACTTTATCTCTCTCAAGTTTTGCTTTTCTGCATCTGCAGTGGGGGTGATAGCACCTGTTTTCACAGGATGGGTGGTGAGGATCAAGTGAGGTGACTAAGGAGCACCTGGCTCCTTGCTAGTGCCTGTAATGACCACCTCTTCTCCTTTGTCTAGGTTTTCTGTTGACCTCCACTTTAGGTTCCAGACCCCCATCAGGGTAATATGCCTTCATGGCATCTGTGTAGTTTCATTGTTCAGTCTCTCTCAGGTAGTGTTTCCCCTTGGTGATGAGAAGACTGTGGCAGACAGGTTTTCATTTGTGGTGGGGAGGCTCCCGTTAGCCTCACAGCCTTTACTTCTGGTGGTATGGTGTCATCACCATTACTGCCAACATCTCCTTTCCGAGCTTTCTTGTTTGGATTTTTCCCTAATTTTAATATTTTTCTCATAGCTTACTTTACTTTTCAGTCTACTGTGGCCTTTGATAGGGATATTTGAATAATTTAGTTAATTAGCAAGTTACTGATTGGAGCATGAGTTTGCTTTGGGGTAATATCCTATAGAGCCTGCCTCATCCTGAATGTTGACGTTGCTGAAATAACACAGGTGTCATCACCAACCATTCTAATTTTATTATAGTAAAATATTGTATTTTGCAGTATTTTATTATAACTTTATTATAGTAAGATATAGTCTGAATTCTTTGGTTATGTTGGGACTTTGTTAATACAGTTAATACTGAGTTCTTGAGTGTGCTTGAGTAAAGATGACCGGTAAGGGGATTTTAACCCTTGACTTGGTGTTGTCAGCACCACGCTCTCCGAAGTAAGCTAACCGGCCATCCCTAGATAGGGATCTGAACTCGTGGCCTTGGTGTTATCAACACCACACTCTCCCAAGTGAGCCACAGGCCGGCCCTAGATTTTGTTTTTTTTTAATATGTTGGCTTTTATTGCATTTTTTGTTGTAATGGCCTTCGACCTATAATAGTGAAGAATCTAAATTG